TGATTTGGCACCCATATTGAAGCCATGAAACGTAAATCAGCAGAAGATGGTGCTTTAGGAACATCATTACGTCCACGTACTGCTAGCTCATCTGTTAATGGTGGTGGCAATTCATCCAATAGTGGTAGTACCCCAAGCTCATCTAATAATGGTGGTATTAGTTCAGTGGTGTCTGGAGCTGGTTCATCTGTTAATGGTGGTGTTGGTAGTTCAAGTTCTGAATCGGTTAAAATTACCAAATTGGAAAAGAGAATACAGCAATTGAATGAACAAGCAAAAAAGTATAAAGCTACCATTGAAGATTTGAAGAGAAAAAGACAAGAGGATGCTCTAACAATTCAATCATGCAAAAAGCAATGTGAAAGACATGATGCAAGTATGCAACAAACAAAGAAATTAGTTCTTGATTTCCATAATAGTATTCTATCAATGGACATTTTCGAGGTTAAAGAGGGCACATACTGGATCACTTTTGAAGGTGTTGAAAAAGGGGTACCATCTACAAAAGTGAATGACATGCTGAAAAGAAAGCAACCTAATGTAGTAATAGAACAACTAATAATCATATTCTCTTTAGGAACTGTTACCACTCAACAATTCAGAGCTTTGGATTTAATCATGACAAGAATCTGTCCACTCATGAAAGAATCCAAGCACAGACTCAAGAATTTCAAAGATAGAAAGAGTAAACTCTTCAATAGAAAGGCTGTTGATGATGGTACCACAGCTAGAGCCAAAGTGGTACTTGTTGATGAGGATTCTAATTCAACTGTCTTATTGCAAGATGCTGAACAAAATACTGATATCAGTACGGATGGTATTGTTAATAATAATAATAATATGAATATTGATAACAATATTGAACTCAATGAAGAATGTGATGAAGTATTACCATGTGGTGATGATGATGATGTTGGTATTATTAATTAATCATCAAGAGAGAATAATTGGAAGTCGTCACCATACAGATATTGTCATCATAAGACAGATACTATTCATAATAAATTAATTGAACCCATTGGTTATTATATTATTAATAATATTACTAGTAATAATTAGTTCATCCCATCACACATGGACGTAGTTGTATCATATTCACTTCAGGTTGTGTTGATTTTTTTTTTAATGATCACTTTCAAAGTGAGAGCTGATAGAAATCAAAGTGATCCGATTTGCTGTTTGGATTGAATAACAACAATTTCATTCATTCAAACCGAAGATACATCTCTACACTACTCAATTTAATAAAGAAAACAAGAAAAAATTCAATATAAATTATCATACTATTTACTCACTTCTTCTCTCACTATTGGAGTGAGTAAGAAAATATGCTCATTTTAAAGATCACATCCAGAGTGAGAAAGAAAAAGCTCGTACGGGAAATGACAACTCATCCCAATAACAAATCAGACTTCCAACAGTAACGCACAATGTCATATTCATTATTGGAATATTTTCATCAAAATAATACACAGTTTGTTTTTCGTATACATGAAAAATTATCATGTAAATATTTCATAAACAACTATACAATATTGTTATTAGTTCAAAGATACAATTTGCATCACTAACATCAAAGGCAGGTAAGACAACTCCATAATTAACACCATTGATTGTGTAAGATATAGTCCCATCTTTCAATTCAACAATATCCAAATTTTGTAAAATTATAACGTCCATCCACATTAATACTGTTAGGTGCAAATCCAATCATTGGATTACCTTCCTTGTCTATAAATCTCTTCAGTATTAACTAATTGTAAAGTGAAAATTAGGAACAAACGCCAATAGTAACCGTTATTTAATTTCTAAAAAAAAACGAAAAAACAACATGCATTGATTCGCTCTCTGGTAAATTTCAAGTGGAGGATTTCTAACAGGACATATCTGTTTCATCAATTTCAACACAAGCTTCTTTAGGACCTTTGCTTGATGATTCATCACTAGGCTAAACTTTTTGGTTTATTATTCAATCATTTTTATCAATCAACAAAATGTCCAAATACAAAGTTACGATCAAACCACAAAGTTCATCCGATGTATTGGAAAAGAAGAAGGAGGTACTTTCTCTACTGGATAAACCAGAACAAGTTGATTCCCTGCTAGCTTTGTTAGATGAGGTATTTTCCAACAGCAATGTAGAAAAGTATTCTGCCATCAGCAAGGATGACTTTGCCTTCCTGCTTGAAGCTAGATGCAAGGCTTCATTGATAAGGGCTGATCAACTCTCGGAGAAGGAAGAAAAGAGGTTGGCTATATTGAAAGCCCTGAATAGTGGACAAGAATGTGTTATTAATCAACCAAGTTTTGCTCCTGGATATGTTTTGTATGGTGAAGCTTTTGTTAGTTTTGCAAAATTGGGTGATCACGACAAGGTGTTTGATGATAAGCAGGAAAGAGAATTAATCAAGAATATTAGAGAAATTGGTCTTGGAGTTGTGCAGACA